GCAGACTTATGCTGTTAAGTTGATAGTTAATAGAGCTCCTCGGGCTGTCTCTACATTGGATAATCGAATGACAGAGGTGGTATAGGGCAAGTGGCGCAGCTTAAAACGTGTTCGTTCCGATGGTCAGACTCCAGACCAGCTCCAGCCCGGGCCAACCTAGCCTGCCTCCCATTCCTCCGCGGCCACGGCTTCTGGGAGAATAAATACAGCATCCTACATCTAGCCCCCGCAAGTCACTGTAAGGGCCAAATCGCATTGAAAGTGCCGCTACGATTCTGAGTGAAACTATTATAGAAAGCATGGCGCATTCCGGAAATGTACTGTCTAACGCTCAAATATTGTTGACAATCTAGCGGCAGAGTCGGAAGTCGTGGAATGAGCCTGCCGGCGGCCGCATCTTTTCAACAGTAGTGGTCGGTTCGAACAACCAATGGGAGTGGTTTTCTCCCATTGGTTGTTCGAACCGACCACTACTTTTGAAAAGATGCGGCCGCCGGCAGGCTCATTCCACGACTTCCGACTCTGCCGCTAGATTGTCGAAAACAACCAATGGGAGAAAACGCCGCAGATGAGCTCTTTTCACACCTCCTGACACCACTCTGTCGGATTGCACGATATAAACTGAACTTTTCAACCCAACAACGACTCTGTTTCATGGAAACCACGCTGCTTCAGAAATCCTTTCTCAAGAACTTTTAGAATTTCAACGCGATTGTTTAGCAGTATTTTGAATAAAACCTCAAGCTAAGAGATGCTCGTACACATACGTAAAGAGCGGAAAAGCAATACGAAAAGACTCGACAACACAGAAGTCTACTTTCGCAATGCAACAAATATCTTGGAAAGTTTACCACACATCCCAGTAAAGCGGTCGAGCACATGGTGAACTAGTAACCCTTTTGTTGCCATCTCACGGGGTCGACATTTCTTGAGCTTTTTCCTGACACTTGCTGCTCCCTAGTGGATTTCGTATCCTTTTTCTTTGACGGATTACATGACTACTTTCCGAATGATAAATCAGCTATTCTCAAGATATTCTCCCGCAGAAATGCATATGAGGTTCACTAGGGAGCAGCACTTAGATGGTTCATATATGAAAAAAGAGGAAAAGCATGTGGCATGTCAATCCTTCAGCGAATTCCCTATCGCTTCGCAATCGAGCTCTCTTCGCAATCCTCTTTTCAACAAAAAAAAGGGCGCTTCTAAGCCTCTACTGTTCCACTCTGCAAAACGAATCAAGCCAGATCTAGATTAAAGTTCTCGTAAAATTCCACTAGATATTTCCTCTGAGAGTGGTCTCACCTTATTACACGAAAATCCTATTATCTTGGGGCGGAAACTCTTCGTTCTCGCGCCACAGGCGCCCGATCAACACCTCGAAATACCAGATAGCCAAAAAATTGTTACTAGGGGCACTTTGACCCCATAAGAACGAACATCCCGCTCGCTTATTGTCAAAACCAGGTCTCCGCGAGATGTGATAATTATGTTCCAGATTGAAGATAAGATAGATAAAGGCCAGATTACCCGCTCGGACAAAGTTTCGGCCCAGTCATGCCAGAAAATCCCCGAGCGAAATAAGGTACGGCAGTATCGGGTTCAGTTGAGGTATCGGCCAAAAAGTAGCAACTACTGCAAACCAAAATGGGAAGGTTTCAATTACATGAGCGAAGAATGAGGAGTAGGTTTGAGAAGCGACGTGATGATAGCTATTCGCCACTAGTAAAAAGAAGTTTGAAACAACACAGAATTCCTACTGGACGCACATTAGCATCACCGGGACAAACCAAGGGAAGAGAGGTGGAAATCCAAAAATAGGAAGTTTTCCAGAGATGGTTAGGAAGATGATGACTATGGAGGATAGCGATGAATCGGATTTTCAAAAGACGGACCATAAGAGAATACTTAAAGAGATGCTTGTGAGACCCGCGAAGTCGCTGTTGTGCGCAAAACTTTGCTATACCACACACATCACATATTATAGAAATATATTATTATGAAGTGGAAAAAAACAGGAAAAAAAACAAAAATTAAAAATGAGATATGATTTGGGGCGGTTGACCGACTGAAGTTGCCCTAACGAAGAACACAGAATTGAACTCTTCGAAAAAAATGAGTAGCGATATGTGAGACTAGGCTTATTTTACGAAGATGAACTCGCTAACTAGTGATAATAATTCAAAAGTTGTTTAATAACTGACCTGACAATAAAGGTCAGTGCAGACCGGTGCCAACGCCTCTTCTCGGCCAGTATTTACAGTGACTAAAAACGAGAGAAACTGATAACGATGACCAATAAAAATCGAACTGCAAACGCTCACTTATGTCCTTCTGATGTTTTTTCTTCATTTCTTTCTTTTCTCGCTTCGAAAATCGTTTCGTACCACGCTTCATATTCTCCTCTTCTGGTAGCTGTATTGTCTAAATATTCCATGGTTAAATAGAAGTCGCGAAGTCAAAACAATGACATGAAATATCAAACTAACTGCTAATGGAGCCATTCCTTGACGATTTTTCCGCAACAGAAATCGCCCCTCACGATCATCACGATGCCAGGTGAGCTGCACCAAAAGCGGTTTCTCTTCGTCGTCTAGTTTTCGCTCTCCACCACTTTCGTGAACCTATATCAATTGGAGTCCTAACCTCGCTTGAGAGCTCGCATTATTCTACTCTCCGTCCAGGGAGTTGCCCTCCCAGGAAAGGTTGGAGCAAATTGTACGAAGAAGTTCAAAGTTTCTCGTGGTACCACACAATTTTGAAGCTGATAAACTCCAAGTGATGAAGGCAGGATGATTTACACGAGGTGGTTTTTTTTTGTAGGAAAACGGTAATTTAGAAATAGTGTCATCACAGCAGCTTTGATAATTGCTGTTTAACCACGAGGTTTTCGAAAGTATGCTGGGTTTCAAGCAAAAGACATGACTTTCATGCTTTCCTCGAGCTAACGATAAGCTGGGAGGGCGAAACGTTATCCTGGTAATGCACTGCTAAGCTCACTTGCCTGAGGTAAGGAAGAGGTCTTCGAGTGCTTGTTAGAGCCAACGTCTTAGAAATTTTTTTCTTTCCCTATCCTATCCACCACTTTCCCGAATCCTCCTAACTCCCAATTTTCAACTATTTCGAACCAAGTTGGTACCAAACAAATACCAGAATCGACTATTAGAAAGATAGCTGTCAGGAAGAGGGGGTCGGGCTCAATAAACTGGAAATACGAAACAAGGTTACTCCGGAATTTTGAGCATTCCTTCTCTTGAAGGAGCACAAACGCGCACTAAGAACTCCATAGGAAACATATCTTCACATGGGCGAGTGAAGTTCAAGCACCACCCCTCCTGTTTTTACGAAGAATGTCATTGACAATTTCTAGATTCAAATGTTCTGAAGGGAAATGGAAAAACACAGAATCATCCCACTCGAATTGCTCTTTCAACTGTTAGAGGAACCTGATATCAAAGGAACTTATGAGTTTTCATGAAATTAAGAAAAGAAATAACAAATGAAAAGGGTACGAAAACAAAATTAAGCTTCACGCTTTGACAGCGACTACAAAATAAACTAGATATGAAACACTAAATCGAAAAAAGACAAGTAACAAACGATTCTTACCTCCCACAGACTATAGGTGTCATCCGAAAGCATTTTTAAATCCGGCAGAAACTTGTCGGTCAACGCTTCCACGACGGCACGTGTTGTCGCTGTACTGGATACACGGACACACTTCGTCAGCACTCTCTCACCACCATCCTGACAAAGACGGAGGATACTCCTTTAGAACGATAACACTTTATTTACTCTTGGCGCATATTGCTGTACTAACAGGGCTGT